AAAGAAGGAGGAGACATCAGGGCGATAGATGTTTGGTAGGAAAGAAGGAGCAAACCACATTAGAGCACCCGCCAACCACCCACAGTGGTTGTTTGTACAGGTGGTTGTCTTGGAATGTAACCGTTAACAGAGCAGGTTGGGCTGTATACTATGTTATTAATATCATACCCAGCTGCCTATGCTAAAGAAGGAAAAGAATACTTTCTGAGTCACTTGAAGAACAGACAAAGGATTCGAATAACTTGTTGTTGATGAAAAGATAAAAGGCAAAAGAGGCAGGGATGGACGATGAAAAACTGACTTAAGACTTATATCTAGAATCTAGAGACCACAAACAACAACGATAGCAACAGTAAAAACAACATCATCATCGTAGTCGTCGTCGTCGTCCCCAAAGATAAATAAATCATCCCAAAACATGATAAACAGCCGATTCAGGCTAAACAAACGAATGCTAGTTAGTTAGTTAGTTAGTTAGTTAGTTAGTTAGTTAGTTAGTTAGTTAGTTAGTTAGTTATAGTAGAGGGTTTTATGGCGCTCGCAACTGCATAAGGTCATATGAGCGCCACGAACGAATGAGTAAAAAAATAAGTCACACAGCTCACCTGGATGGTGGCGACAATCGGCCACCGATATCGATACCCAGGTCACTAGAACCGCCATGACGACACCGACACCGACACCGCTGTAGACAGAAACCTTTCTACACACTAGCTAGCTGCAGCCCGACAGCGGATCACACAGACCGACTCAAGAAAGGCCACACCAGGACAGGTGAAAGCGCGACATACGCTGTGAGGGACCACAGGAAAACGGAGGGGGAGGACGACCGAACGACAGCCTCTTTCCTGGAAAGTGACGTCAGCGTGCAGCTGACAAACTCGTCAAATCAAACCCGGCAACTGTTTATTTTGGATTTCGACACTTGAGATCAAATGTATGAAAATATTTCACCTTGCGATAAAAACTGTCTCGGGGAAGAATAAAAATTCCTCAATGCTCGATAATCAAAAATAAATGCTGGGATTTTGAACACTATCAATAACTCAATCTATTGTTCCCCAAAAGGGAGGTTAAAAAAATAACAACATTCAAACCCAAAACGGAACACTATAATCAACGAAACAAGGCACAATCTCGTCATCGTCCACTTTGAAAAAATGCTGTTCCTTCTGCACCCGTCCCCACACCATCGTCCGTCTGTGTGTGTGGAGGAGCCTGATCACAAACGACAAAATCACATCCGACGAGACGACGACCCGCTGTCGAAGAGTCCCCAGGACGTACTACTGTAAACACACAGAAGCCTGGACGGCAGGCAGGCAGGGAGGGGGGGGGGGGAGATCAAGCGACACCTGACGAGATAGAATCGCTTCCTCGATCACCAACCGACGCACCACCACCACCACCACCACCACCACCACAACATCCACCACCACCCACCACCAACCACACAACTCCCCACGCCCCCCTCCCTCCGGCGGGGCGGGCTGATTGCGAGAAACCCAGTACAGCGATACAACAAACACAAGTAGTAGTACTAGTAGAGTAGAGTACTACTGTGCGGGTTTTACCCCCCTCTCCAACACTAAAAGGTCATCTGGAAGGCGTGATCTTCGATTTTCAACGTCCATCTCCGATATGCCAGAGCCTGTAATGGGTGGGCGAGTCAGCACGCTTTAAATCGCGACTCCATGCTCACAGATGTGAGGGGAAGAAGGAGGGAGAGGGACACTTGAGGAGCGGCGAGCACACGAGAGAGAGAGAGAGAGAGAGAGAGAGAGAGAGAGAGAGAGAGAGAGAGACGGGAGATGGATACACTGAAGAGAGGAGAGAGATCAGAGCAAGAGAGACGAGAGAGACACGGAGAGGGAGAGAGAAAGATAGATAGATATGAGAAAGGGAGAGAGACA